TTTATTTATTTATTTAAAATATAATATATTATGTTATTCCCCCCGCCCCAAATTCCCATTTTTAGAGAAAGAGAACTGAAACTTAAAGGTAGACCTGCTTGATAGTATAGCCAAGTTGAGTTTAAACTCAAATCTTGCCGCCAAACCACAGTCCTATCATAAATACCCTTAGACCTGCTTGATAGTATACCCAAACTTGAGTTTAAACTCAAATCTTGGCGCCAAACCACAGTCCTATCATAAATACCTTTAATAGCCTTACCCCACCTGGCTAACTTTCAAATTATGTCAGGTGCCCCTTGGGCAGAGAGAGAACAGGAGCAGATAAAATTGATATTGGAAGACACATTTTATTTACAGAAAACATCACAATGAAATCCCTTTACAAGAAAGAAATATAGTGGGTGGGTACAGTCCTCTTTTCAAGAAGACTGAGAAATAGCTTTGCAATCCTCAGCACAAAATAGCTTAGAAATGAGCGATAATTCAATGGAAACCACATGGCTATGTTGTACCACAGATACTGCCCCCAAGACTGAGGACATCACTATCTCAATTTCTTAGAATTCTGATTTTGCAGGACATTCGGGCTCCCTCTCACTAGAAGAGCCAAACACCTTATGATACAAATATTCCCTTTTGTGTGAATAGCTGTGTTTGAGTAACGGACTCCATTCCCAGAAGGGTACTTCTATCACCACATATCCAATCTGACGGAGTTGCCTCCTTTTCATACTGTGAAACCCCAGCAAGTGTTTTGACTTCAAGGCATAGTGGTTCCTGGTGGACACCTGGATGGCTAGTTTCCTCCCGGAACGCACCTGCTCAGTCGGCTGAGGATCGGGATCTTTAGAAGTCGTCTTGGTCAAAGCATCGAAGAGGAGACCAGTCAGGGGAACTCCATCAGAAAAGGAGCGATGATTCCCAGTGGAGAGAGATAAATCCAGCTGGACGGCTCTTTTCTGGACACACTTTTCAGTCTTGTTTCCCCCATCAACCAAGAGGGTCTGGCTCCTACTCTTCCCCTTTAAAAGCTGATCCATTAAATCATTTGTAAGGAACACTCCATGATCTGTGAGTGTCAATGGTTCTGCTACAACAGCTTCTGAATTAAATGGCAATGGGTTCTGGTTAGCGTCTAAACAAACCTCCAGATCGACTGTTCTGTTGTGAGGCAAAATCAAATGTTTTTTTACATACTGTGGCCCCCCCAACATCTCTTCCAGTACAGACATAGCTGCAATGATTTCTGGCTTAATGCAGAAATCCTGCCTAGCATAGCTATACACCCTATTCACCGCTTCTTGCCTAAACTGTGGTGAAAGACGATTACCTGCGTAATCAGGGCATTCAATCTCTACTGTGCCATCAAGAGTTAACAAGTCTCGGTCGGGGTAGTATTGACCCTCTCTGCATAAACCGATAAACTTAGGACTCAAAGCATAATCTATCAAGTCGTAATGGAAGCGCTTGACTAACGCCAGAGCTACCAAAGCAGTCACCAAATGCTCAGGGAACTTTTGAAATTCATGAAACTTTACATGCAACTGTTCCTCGAGTCTGGTATAAAACTCGTCTGCATTAGGGGGCACATAGTTTAAGTTTCCAAAAGACCACAATAATTTGGCAACATCCTTGCATCGACAAGAAGCTACCTTTGGAGGCACAGAATAGGCAATATTATCCATAAGTCCTTTATCAAAGTAATGCAAAGCTGAACACGCAAGTGCTATGTGCATGATACTTTGAACAGTCATTGTCTGCATCCGAGAAGGAACCAATTGCCCTAGATGCTTCAAAAAATAGATGTGGCCATGGTAAGTGAGGCGATACATCTTGAGGATGTTCACCAAGGCACAATTGCTGATGTCTGCCAGGTGGGCACAGGTTTTAAGTCCGATTCTCTGCATAGTTGCGTCGGAAAGACAACTTTTTGATTTGAAGAACCCCAAACATATGACACCCACTTCCTCTAGGCTGAGAGAGTCCAAATACGTTGACATCAAGAGGTCTAGTTTCTTCATCAGCTCTTCAGGGGCTTTACGCCCTTCACCAATGATGTAGCTGAGCTGGACCAGCTGGGGCAAAGTGAGTTCTTTCCAATGCTGGTTAACATAGGTCAACATGATCTCCAAATAGCAAGGGACGCTGCGGCCCAAGTAACACCACAAGTCGGCCACCAGCAGCACCAGATTCAGGCTCATGTCCCAGGCCCGGCAGCAAAATTCTTTCTCATAGTTCTTCAACATAAAGTGGGAAGGTGGAATCCTAAGGGTGACAAAGGCTTTCAAAATTGTAATAAGGTCAGCGGTAGAAAACATCTTGACGTTCTTAATGCCATAGTTACACAGCATATCGAACCTGAAATTGGACAATACAGCTTTGCGCTGCTCTGCAGGCAAACAGCTTAGCCGGAAGAAATATTCAGCAATGGCTTCTGGTTTGAGGCCACTTTTAATCAAAGAGACTTTCTGTAGGATGCGTTCGCCCTCTTCTGCGGAAAGGGACTGAGAAAATTCCTCCCTGTTGTAACACAGAGATCTGTACTCAGGCCTTTGCTTCTGGAATATTCTGGTATGCTCCTTAGAGTCATAGATCTCTGTATCCATATCATCGTCGTCGTCATCATCATAATCATGCCTATCATTTTTCATGGGGCCCTGTTTCAGGGGATGCTCACCAGAAAGCACCTCATCATCCTCCAGCAGCACACCCTCTTCACCGGAAAGCCTCTGTGTGCTGGTGACGTGGTAAGTACTTCGGATTTGCTTGGGACCGACAGTGGACGAGTCACCTTCAAGGGATCCATCCCACAAACCTCTTGAGGCGTCTTCATGATGTAAGCGTTTGGCCATTTGGTAGGCTGAGGGGTTAATGGACATGCTGTACTCTGGGGACGCCCACAGTCCGAGGCTGACGGCAGCTTTAGCTCCTTTGCCCATTGTGACGGCGCTCCGGCTCTCTTCTGCATTTCCAAAGAGCATCTTCTGTCCCCAAGCCCTTGTCGTAGTAGAAAATGCAGCTGCCCTGCAAGATTGCCCTGCAAATCTTCTGTATATTATCCCCGTAGCCATGGCCACGCATATCAGGCGAGTCCTGGTCCCAGGTACTGAAAAAAGGGCAGATGAAGAATGAGTGGCTTCCATCGGTCAGGATGGGTGCTCGTTTCTTTTTCTTTACACTACAGCAAAATATGTTCTGATAAGCAACATTTACTTATGTACATAGATAGACACACACACACACACACACACACACACAGACTCTGATGTCATGTCTTTTAAGGTCCTCGTGAATAGGTAAGGTCTGGGCAATGCTCTCACAGGAACAAAGTAATGGCAAATAACAATGGCAGCTAATGTAATGAGATTCATGCTGGTTCTAAAAGAATTTAATCAAGAAATTCAGCAAGAGTATGTCGACAAAGAGGGATGATAAACTGGACTCAAGGACCATATTCACGGATGGTATACAGATGGCAAGGCGCGCACTCCCAGTGGGTGGGGCTGAGAGGTTATCAGGATCAAAGCCCCCTTCTCTACACTATCCCTCTTTGTCCATTCATGTTGCCTGGCACACATCCCACCACCTGCACACATAAGGTCTGCTTAATTATCTCTTATTCTGAAAGTAATTTCTAAGCAATGCCTCTACAGACTATAACTCAGAAGTCAGAATGATCCTTACTATTGACAAACAGCAGAGTTAATTAAAGAAAAGGTGGACAGCTGTCGTGTGTCTGATACAAAGGGGACTACAATCAAGAACAATGCCCAGAGACCCAATCTGAAAACCTTGGGGTGAAATGCTAAATTTCTGCTTGAAGCTGAGCTTTTAAAAAAATTAGGCATTCATAAAGAAGCTGTTTTACACCAAGTCTGATGCTGTACCCTCCGCAGCTGCTCTCAGGCCTCCTATTCAAGATCCTCTAACAGTAGGAGCCATGTAAAGTGCACAGCCCCATATGGCAATCCCTCCTTTCACAATGATAAGAAAAACACTATACAAGGTTGTCCTATAATCTACCCTCACCTGGTCTGGACATTCCTATACTATAATTGGCTTGAAATTTTTGCAACTGCATATTGAATTCTTCTGATTTCTTGTGTGCTCAGCAAAATGGATGAACAGAAAGTACCCCTTGTAATAAGTCATCATTTGGTGCTGATATGGCTTTCCAATTTATATGCCAATGACTCCACCGAGATGCCTAGAGGGCAGCCAGCTGATGACCAAAGAATACATTTTTGAAAGAGGCCAGGCCACTAACAACTGAATGGGTGGAGGCTACTATTAATGGCTCACTCCTTGAGGGCAGGGTCCCCCTCATCCTCAAGGAGACACTCATTAGGCAAATCTGGAAAAAAGCCAATCTGGCGGCTGATGAGATCAACAACTATCCTCCAGCCGCCAAGATCCCCTTTATTGGCAATCTGGTCAAGAGAGTGGGGCCTGATCAGCTTCAGGATCTCCTTGATACGTCCCAGTCCGGATTCAGGTTGTGTCATGGCATTAGTTGCCCTGCAAGATGACCTCTTGAGGGAGGTCGACAGGGGCAAAATGTCCCTGCTGGTCCTCCTTGAACTCTCAGCAGCCTTTGATACCATCGACCGCGGTATCCTCCTGGGGAGGCTCTCGGGGTTGGGGATCGGTGGTCAGGCATTGGCTTGGCTCCGGTCCTTCCTGGAGGACCATCCCCAGAGAGTTCAGCTGGGTGAGATGTTGTCTGTTCCGTGGACTCTCAATTGTGGGGTCCCACAGGGGTCAATCATCTCCCCAATGTTATTTAATATCTACATGAGGCGGCTGGGGGAGGTCATCAGGAGTTTTGGAGCTTCGTGTCACCCATAGGTGGATGATGCTCAGCTCTCTCTCCTTCCACCCGCCTGCAGTGGATGCCGTCCCGTCCCTTGAGCGCTGCCTGGAAGGGGTGCTGGGATGGATGAAGGATAACAGACTGAGGCTGTGAAACTCTCTTCTGCTCAAAGTCCGCCTGGACCCTTCACTGGGCACAGTCAAAAAGCTACTAAAAAGCTGGCTATTTAGACAGGCCTTCCCTGAACAAACAACATCTTGATACAACAGTGCCCAATAATATAACTTCCATCATAGGGCCAAGTCCCATGTTTTTACACTTTTAACTGCATTTAATGGATTGTATTTTTGTTCTCACTACACTTTATGGTTTTTAATTTGCACCCCTAATGTACTGATGTCGTTATCTGTTATGTTACTTTGTTGTTTTGTTTACTTGTTGTAAACTGCCCAGAGTGTCCATGGCTGCCAGATGGGTGGCATTTAAATCAAATAAACAAACAAATAAATTCATATACATTAATACTTCCAAGAAATGTCTCCGAATGGAGCCACGGGATAAAAAATGTTGCCTTTAGGAACAGATTTTGCACAAAAAGAAAAGAAAAGGGGGCGGCTAATGCCACCTGCCGTTGAGTAAGGAGAGTTACTACTGCTTATGAGAACAAAAAGCCTCATCGGGAGAAGCTCTCCTAATTTCCAATCTATGGAGGGGAAAGCAAAGGGCATATTTGAGAAGAGCTTTAAGCCTTTTTTGAGGATAACCATACCAGACTTCCTAAACACGATGAATCACAGGAGAAATAAGCAGGAAAGCCCATATACTGCACATATACTGCACAACTAATGGCTGCCTGTATACGGTGGTTCAAGGGAGACTCTCTAGTCTATAGGATGACCACTTTCAAGACAGATTAAGAAATTTTCTTTCTTAAGACTCTCTAGTCTATAGGATGACCACTTTGAAGACAGATTAAGAAATTTTCTTTATCTATACATACACAGAGAGAGAGAGAGAGAGAGAGAGAGAGAGAGAGAGAGAGAGAGAGAGAGCACAGTCTGTCAGCAAAACTTTTGCTAAGGCAATTGCTTTCTTTGGCCTGCAGCTGTCAGGGGTAGGAGAGGTACTGCTGCTTCCAAATGAGCTCGATTTGATCCTTGGACCTCTAAAGCTGCTGAAACCCACATATGGAAAAGAGAAGCTGCAGCACACAAACACGTCACGAAAGATCTGCCAATTCACTGCATCAATTCAGAAAGAGTAGGAGTGGGAAGAAGCAGCCTGGCAATTAACTGTATGTACAAAAGACACCCAAGGATGCCATCTTTCCTTATTCACTGTAATTTCCCGTTCATTACTCTCCCAATAGAGAGGTTCTTATGGGCTGCTCAGAGGTGTCTCCCATCTAGGCACCCACATGGCTGGCCAATCTAGCATCAGCAACAGAATCGTATCAAGAAGCCTTCAAAGGCATTACCGGCACTCGGCTGAACCAAGCTTGTAAATGGCCGGCAGAGACTGGAAGCAGCTGGTTCGGGTGTAGCTCCACAAATCTGTACATTTACTGAAGTGCCTTTCTACTGGCCTTTGCAGCTAGTTCTGCACTACATGACTTGACTGTGCCTTGGGGTATAGGACGTGCCGACTGGTTCACTTCCAATCCCGCCAAGGCCATGTGGCACAGTGAAGGCCAGCCTTGCTGGCTTCAACCAACAGAGATGCCAGTGGCAGAATCTGCATCATCTGTGTGTGGCAATAAGACCATCCTGCTTGGGTTTTTTTCCTCCTTCATAGAGGTGCGCTGCAGAATTCCACAGACAGGTTGAGTTCTGGGAACCATTTCCGGTCCATGTGCTTGATTTAAAAACCACCACCGCCGTAACTCAGAGAGGCATACAATGGCTTAAAGTACAATGGCAGCATGCGACTTCTCCTAGCTTTGCAGGCATGCGTCTTATGCATTTATTTCTCCCGCTTGCTTTCAAGGATTGTCATGTTTAGCTTGGGGCATTCATTTCAGTGAAAGATGACCGCACAACAGATTGCATCCAGAGCTTTGCAGAGTATTGCATCTATAATACGCCAAATGTCTGCATCAGGTATCTGCAAAGCACCCTGCAGGCCACATTGCAGTGCCAGGCTTCCACAGACCCCCTTCCCACGCAATATTCTCCATCCTGGGGGAGGGGGGAGTTATCCAAAAAGCAGTATTTTCTCATGTATCTCATCTTTACTAGGCTGTAAACATTACATCTTACTTTACACGCAGTGCAGGATTTATGTACAACTTCTAGAACTCCAAAGATCTACTCATGTCAGTGTTTCTCATCATGATGATAAATTTGAAGGAGAAAAAAACACCAAATGTTGTGGTACTTTAAAGTCTAGCTGGTTAGCTTTTGTGTGAGTTTTTCTAGATCAAATGCATCTCAGAAGTATTACTGATACTACTATCTTGGCACTATAACACAGAAATGAATATATACTGACAGATTTAGATTAGATTAAGCATCCTTCAGTCTCAAGAGACTATGGTAACATGCTCTGTAGAGAGGACTTGGAACAACAGCATCTAGTGTGCCTGAGAAGGCCAGTTCAAGCGTGACAATCCCTTTCAGACTGAAGACAAATACAACCTGTACAGCTCCCTGATTTTGCTGGTTTCGGTACTACCTCTTTGCCTCGGCCTGCTGGACAAGGGTCTCTTCAAATTGGGAGAGGCCGTGATGCACCGCCTACCTCCAGGCTGAATGCTCAAATGTCAAGGTTTCCCATCTGTTGAGGTCAATTCCTAAGGCCTTCAGATCCTACTTGCAGATATCCTTGTATCGCAGCTGTGGTCTCCCCCTGGGGCGATTTCCCTGCACTAATTCTCCATACAGGAGATCTTTTGGCTAAAGCTCATTCTGCCATTCTCACGACATGCCCGAGTCAACGTAGACGTTGCTGTTTCAGTAATGTACAAATGCTAAAAATTCTAGCTTGTTCTGGGACTACTCTATTTGGAACTTTGTCCTGCCAGGTGATACCAAAAATGTGTCAGAGGCAACGCATATGGAACGTGTTCAGCTTCCTCACCTGCCATGCACAAAGGGGCCAGGACTCACTGCAGTATAGGAGTGTGCTCAGGACACAGGCTCTATAGACCTGGATCTTGGTTTAGGCTGTCAGCTTCTTATAAAGCCATATTCTCTTTGTGAGTCTAGAGAATATGGCAGCTGTTTTGCCAATGCATTTATCCAGCTCAACATCTAGGGACAGAGTGTCAGAGATTGTTGAGCCAAGGTACACGAAGTCATGAACAACCTCCAATTCTTGTGTGAAGATGGTAATAGAGGGAGGTGAGTCCACACCCTGGCCCATGACTTGTGTTTTCTTCAGGCTTTGGATTAACAATATACAGTACTGACAATGTCTTGAGATAATAGAAAAGTATTTCTATATAAGGCTTCGTATGTGTGTGCACATAGAAACTGCTCCCTTGGTTTTTTTAATGACAATTTTTTTGCCATTTCTGGGCTCTGTGTGGTCTGTGAGCATGCAAATGCATGACAAGACAAAACAAAAAACCCTACCGGTGGAAAATTATCCAGCAAAAGTGGCATATCTATTGCAAAATATTATGGCCTTTTCAACTGCCTGAGCCCTGTGTCAGTAGAGCAGATGACATGCCTGCCTGTCAATGGTGTCTCTAGTTGTAAAATTCAATCAGCCTCTGGCCTTGGAGCCAGAATTTGGGAGTTCAGTTCTCCACTGTGCATCCTTAAGAGGGGCTGGACTCGATAGGGTTCCTTCCAGCTATGCAGTTCAAAGGTTATTAATCCAGAATTACACCCAAAGACACAACCTGAAAACCTTGAGCTGAAATGCTGATTTTCTGCTTGAAGTTTAACTTAAAAATTTTTTAGGAATTCATAAAGAAGCTAGTTTACACCAAGTCTCATGCTGTACCCTCCACAGCTGCTCTCATGCCTGATACTTGAGATCCTTTTAACAATAGATGCCATGTTAAGTACACAGCCCCGGGTGGCAACCCCCTCACTCCACTATGGTAAGAAAGCCACTAGACTGGGATCTCAGGTAATCTACCCTCAGCTGGTCTAGACGTTCCTATTCGTTTGAAATTCTTGCAACCGTATGCTGAATTGTTCTAGTTCCTTGCACGCATTGCTCAACAACATGGACAGGTCATTCTGGGACACCATCCCCTAAAGAACGCCTGTCAATGGGGGTCTCCACTTGCAAGACTGACATGTCCCAGTGCTAAGAAAGGCTGTTTCCTCAGGGAGATCTAGAAGAGAGCTGCCGGTCAAAGCCAAGAGCCCTTACCTAGAGGAACAGAAAGGACATCATTGGGGGGGGGGGAAAGCAGGGCTCTGCAATTTCCATGCCAGCAACCCCATGGAGATGAAGGTCCCTGGAGGGCAGGCAGACGGACGTCCTTCAAATATTATGGGCTGCACCTCCTTTAATTCCTGGTTTGGGGATCACCCGGGTTTGGGGGTGATGTTGCAGTTCAGAAATATATGGGGAGGGGAGAAACCACCTGCAATATTTGATCCGATTTAAAGACTGCACAGAAACACTCTCCCCCCCACCCCTCACCCCCCACCAATTCAAAAGCACTATCCTTCCCTGGAGGCAAGAAACAGGCAACTAAACCCCTACTGTACGTGCCTTGACAGGCAGGGTCCACACCGGGACCCCTGGGGGGAAAGGGGTTTTTTGGGGGGGGACAGGTGGGGAGGCTGGGCGGGGCTGAGGCCCTCCAGCCCCGCCCCCTCGAGTGACGCAAGGCGCCCCCTGGCGACGGGTGGGGGTGGGGCAACGCCATAGCCCCGGGAGCCAAAAGCAAACGACCCCAACCAGCCGGCCAGCGCCGCCTTCTGGGCCCCGGGCATGACGTCACGGAAGGGGGCGGGGGCTAAAGGGACGGGCCGCGACGCATGCGCGGAGGGAGGAGGATGCCCCCCCCCGTGCATCGTCCCATCCCCCAATGGGGGTGATTTGAGCCCTTCGGGTGAGGAGGGGAAGGGACTTTGGCCCTGCTTGGGCCGCCCTGCCTCCGAGCCTCGCTCCACCGAGAACCCTCCGGCCGGGCAGCCTCCCCCGCGGTCCTCACGGTCGCTCCTTCCTACCTCCGCTCCGGCTGCTCCCAGCACGCCTCACCTTTCCGCCGCACCGAGGGGACTTCCGGTCACGTGGCGCCTCACGCGCGTCAGCGCCCCTGGCCCGGAAGGAGCCTACGGCCAGCGGCTGGGGACAAACGGGCTGTGGCGCAGGCGCTCTCGGAGGAAACGCTGCTCGTGGGCAGCCGCCCCGCCCAGGAGTGTTGGCTCTGCGCATGCTCTGCTGCCGGGCCGGGCGGGAGGCAGCGAGGCGCCGCATGGGCGCCAGAGGGCGCTGCCGCCGTTGCTAGGGCCGCGCGACGCTGCGGTTGCCAAGGGGAATTTCGTAAATAGGCCCGCCCAGTGGATTTTCATAGCCCGCAGAGGGGATTCGAACCCACGTCTTCTGAGTCCTAGTCCATCACTCTGTCCACCGCACCGGCACTTGAAAGGGAGGGCTCCTGGGTGGGTTGTTATGTCAGAGGAAGTGCGCGTAAGGGATGCCACCCCAATAAAGAGTTTAATATTCTTAGAGGTGCAGAGCTGGAAGGGACGCTCTGGATCATGGAGTGTCCAGCCAAGGAGGCCCAGGGGGGAATCGAACCCCCAACCCTCTGGCTCCACAGCCAGAGACCTCAACCACTGAGCTATCCATGAGTTACTGTGAAAGCTCCCAAATGGGTTGGCCAGCCGGCCTTTCTACTTTACAACTCAGGAGAAGAGAGCATCCTCAGGAAGCCAAACCCGACCCCCCCCCTTTTTGTTTTGTTTTGTTTTGAGGGCCAAAACGGCTGCTGTCATTAACCTGGAATTGGGACTGGAAGCATGTTAGTGTTGGAGAGACATGATTCAAGCTGAGCGCCATGTTGGAGAACTCAAAGGAATCCTAGGCTTGACTCTTGAAGGCCGAGGGCGCAGGAAAGGAAGCTGATTTGCAAATTGGGAATATCAGGCAAAAACAAAAGAAAACTTTTAAGATGAAGACAAAAAGGCTATATTTTAAAGTGATGTTGTCTGAGGAAGTGGAGACTTCCACAAAAGCTCATATTAAAATATAGCAGATCTATCTATCTATCTATCTATCTATCTATCTATCTATCTATCTATCTATCTATCCTGATATGCTAGCACAGACTGATATGGCTACTTCTTTTAAAACTACCATTAAGGAGTGATGATTATGATAGCAGCCTTCATTTCAGCAGTTAAGGAATTTTCTTCTGAATAGCCACAATGACATCTACTGTCTGGTCAGGGAACAATAAAGACAATGGCTTATCTGTAACTCCTGCTTCTGCACTGAAGTGATCTCAGTGTTTAAGTAATTACTTCTACTATTTCCTTCCTAAAAATGACCGTGGTTACAATATTTTCCTTTTTTCGGGGGAGGTACTACAGCTCTCTGGGAGTTATAGTCCAAAAAAGCTACTTTTTCAAGCTTTTTTTGAAAGGAAGGGTACACAACAGTCTGTGTAGAGATTGTTGGATGGCATCGTCTTGTATTTATATTTACAGTATATTAGAATCTGGGGTTCCATTAAGGAGAGCATTGTGCAGAGGAAAGATATTTAAAAGAAATACATAGCTGTCCTTTGGGGAGGAATGACAGAAAACCTTTATATTTCATCAGGCTGATAAGAAAAGGTTGAAATTTTCCGATAATTGCTTTTATCAGTATTTTAATTGCAACATTAAAACACCGATAAAAGCTTGTGGGAAAACAGTATGTGCTAGTATATATTGCAACATGTGTTTTGAAACATGCTGCAGTTTGTGCCAGAATATGTTTTTTTAGGCTTAGATCCAGTTATTATTCATGTTAATGTTATGACTGACTCCTCGTGAGAACTGTTTGGTCCATTCCTCTTATTGTGCAAAAGGGTTCATCTATCGCAGACCTGGGCAAAGTGGGGCCCGGGGGGCACATACCGGCCCGTGGACAGTTTTGAACATCAAAACCATTTATAAAAAAAACCTCTTTACTATTTGTGAAGATTAACAAGTTTAAAATAAAAACAATCATAACATCACTGTTTCATTTTATTTTTAAGTAAAGTTGGTTCGGCCCCCGAACACAGTTCAGATTTTTCATGTGGAAATAGAAATTATTTCCACATGAAAAATAAAAATTAATTAATTCATATAGAAATTAGTTAATATATTAATTAATTAATTTTATATTAATATATAAAATATAGTAATTTTATATATTAATATAAAAATTAATATAGAAATTAATTGCCCACCCCTGATCTATCTGTGTTTGTGTCTCCCTCTCCCTTCCAATTCAGCTTAAAGCCCTCCTGGTGAAGTTCTTCATGTTGTGGCCGAACACGTTTTCCCCAAAGTCCTCGTGAGGTGCAAGCCGTCTCTTGCTAGCAGTCTGTCTTCCAGGAAGCTTAGCCCGTGGTCGCAAAACCCAAATCCCTCTTGTCCACACCACCTTTGTAGCCAGTGTTTTCCTTTCCCTTTCTATTCCTTTTCCGAATACTGGGACAAGTGAGAAAACTCTCATATCCTCATCTCAAGGATTCATCACTTGCAAGTTATTAAGTTCAAGGATTCTTCCCAGATTCTCATTTTATGAACCCTCACTGCTGGCAAGCAGGAGGTGGCACATTGTAGAGCTGACACTTGTTGTTGTTGTTGTTTTTTTTGCATGCATTGCAAGGGCTTAGTTTTTTGGGGGGTTATTCTATGGGTCTCTGGTTTTTTATCTGAAAGGTTTGGAAACAGGGTGCTGTTGAGAGTCGTTCTTTAGTATAAGTTGTTTAGACATGCCTAGAAGTACCTTTGTCCTTTCCTTAAGTTGTGCACCCTAGCTGCTGCTGGAGTATGTACATTAGCTTTTATGTTTATTAAGGGGCCTGTACGATTTCTGTCTGTCAGACCTGCTGCATTTGGCTAAAGAACCTATACCTGTGACCTCATAAGGGCCTGCCCCCAAGATTTTGGTCCTAAGATCTCAGGAAATGAAATGCTACTGACCTAGCAACTCCATTTTGCTCAAAGATGTTCTGCCTTTATTATTCCATGGTTGGCAAAACAATTCAGCAACCAAAACTTTTGCCAGTGCAGAAAGATGGTGACGGTAAACAACCTTTGGTTGAATTATTATCGGGACTGGTGGGGGGCGGGGAGCATGCTTCTCAGCCTGGGAAATTCAAGCATCCCTTTGAAACATTTCTTAAACTGGCTTAAACTTTTAAAACTCCTGGGCCGGAAAAGGCAAGTCAGTTGCCAAGCTAATAAGTAACCACAACTGAAATAATTTTTTAATCTTAACTTCCTTACAGCAAATATTCCTTTCTACATCCAGGCCCCAGACTCAATTCAAACGACTTTTTTACTAAAGAAATTTAAAGGGCATTTCTCGAAACCCAACAAATTCCTGGTGGCTGAGGTTCATTGTGGTGTATATAAAGTCCCGGCCGTTGTTTTGTACTTCCATAATTGGCTGCTTAATTGTGTTCGAAACATTTAAACCCGGCTTTTCCATTTCACTTTAGAAGCACTCAAGGCTACAGCTGGGTTCTGTCAAAAATAAGATGGCCAAATTGCTCGCAGTGATTACGAACCTGTAGCCCAGCTCTGCAAAAACATTCAGACATGACCATGACTAAGTGCCGTGGAAATGCCTGGGCAGATCTGTTAATTAAATCAGCTGTTCAGCAAAGGCCTTAATTAGGCTGCGACAAGCTCCCGGAACAATTGCGACCAGAGTCGATTCTTCGTCTGTTGTCCTCATCAGAGCCACGCTGCCGACGGCTTCACCCGCCAGGGTCCACCCAGTTCAGCTGCCAACTGAAGTGTGAAAGGACAGCCATTTCGACGGGTGGCCACTTCCCACTCAGGATGAGAAGACCCATTAAAAGTGAATATTCAGAAAGAGAGAGAGAGAAGGAGATTCAAACACCCGCCAAAGCGGGGAGGCATTTACACATACAGCTGCCGTCTGACTTTGGGCAGGCAGGAGTGGAGGGTCACGCCATACTGGGCGAGCTGCCACTGCTTCTCCCAGTGGGGGGAAAAGTTGCCTGGCACTTGTGAATGCTTAACTGGGGCCAAGTCAGTTGCCACATTGGCCACACAAACGAGTGAACAAGAACCAATGTAGTATATAGTGGTAAACGTGTTGGGATGGGACTTGGAGATCCAGCGTCAAATCACTATTGAGACACCAAACTCACTGGGTGAACTTGGAAGTGCTTTTCCAACCTGACCTCCCTCCCTCACATGGTTGGTGTAAAGATAAGTGGAAAGGAGGAGAGCTGTGCATCTATCACTTTGAACTCCCTGGAAGAAGGTAGGGAGATCCATGTCATATAATTACCTAGTGCACTTTTTTAAAAAAAATGTAAATTACTGCTGCTTTGGGTGTGGGAGAGCACCAAGAGGACAACAGTGAACAGAGAAGGCGAGTTTAATAGACTGAATTGTCTCCCCGAAGCTGTTTCTATGAGGGTAGACATTGAAGGAATGGTTAATATCCGTGTCCCTGATTAATGTCCGTGTTTCAGGCCGCTTTGACTGAAAGACCCCAAGAGTCGAGCCGGAAACAGGCGGCTGGCGGCCTTTGTCAGAGACATAGCACCCAGCAACGTGGTCGCCGGCTTCCTTTTCAATGAAAATGGCTTTTTCAATAATTGGTCTGTGTAGGAGTCTGACATTCCTGTTGCTTTTCAGCTTCTCCCACACCATGTTATTCCCACAAGAACAGATTCAAGTCAGAACGTAGAAAAATCTGCTTCGGTGGCAATTCCTAGAAACCCACCACCCGACTTGGTGGCTTCTGGACGCTGTCATCCAAATAAAGTAACTTTCCCCCATCTGCTGTCTAGGTGGGACCGTGTGGCCTTGCTCAGATATTGCCCACGGGGATGTGCATGTGCGCACCACCTTCTCTCCACAGAGCATGCCAAGATGTCTTCACCCACACACAAGAGTTTCTTGCAGCACCTTAATCCTCTTTCACATGAACGCCCACACCCTTTGCCATGACAGCCATTGTGCCAGCCATCAAAATAAAGCCAGACTCGTTCCTCTTGAGGAAAGAGACAGCAAGAGCTATCACATTTTCAGAGGGTGTCTTTCTCCTTTCTTTTCCCACCCCACCCCTCTTTAAATTTTCACTCCAATAAAAACTGTTCACAGTCAGATGGATACAGACAGACAGAGACATGTATAATGTATTTATATATATTTATATATGTACACACACATATATACACAGACCTCTATATAGATATATATATTTACACTATTAAGAAAAGACTCCAA